CCTGAGGGGCCGCGCGCGGCTCCCTCAGGTCACCTCGACAGGCGACGGGAGGGGCGACCTGGGAGGGGGGGCGAGCGTCGCCCCTTCTGCCGCCTCTTTTGGTGCCCGGAGAGGCCGCGCGTCGGCCCCCCCTTCACCCCCCCCCCGTAACCTCCCTACCCGCCGTCCCGCTTTGTCCTGTGTTAGGGTCCGGGGGTGGCGAGTAGGGGGTGGCGGGTGTGTGGTCACCCCTGCTCCTCCTCCTCCTCTGTCTCCCATTGCTGCAGCTGCTGCTGAGGGGGGTGGGTGTGTAGGAGTCAACGGAGTGGTGCTAGGGGGTGGGGTGTGAGTGAACCTAGGGTGCGGCAAGGGGTGTGTAAAAGGGGGGTGCTGTGGGAGTGGAACTAGGGTTTGAGCAAGGGGTGTTGTGAAGAATGAGGAATGAATGAACTAGCGAGCAGGTGGGTACAAGTAGGAAAACCTAGAAGTGTTGTACCCCATATAGTCTACCCCACTACACCCTACACAGACTATAGTATAAGAGTTTGACACACCCTCATAAGCAAATTGGGGGAGAACATGAGGTCACAAGACCAGTCAAGCAAAGCAAAGCAAGCAGGGTGGATCACAACATCACCACACAGTCCGAGCACAAGAGCAAGGCCATAAGGCCAGTTCACATGCAAGATCAGATATATATAGGTAAACAAGCAAGTGCAGGTGTAAAAAGATCACAGTACAAGCAAGGTCAAGAAGTGAGCGAGTGAGGCCAAGTAGGCACAAGACTTAGCAAAGTACAAAAGCGCTGATGATCACAACGCGGAAGTGCCTTGGTAAAGATATCAGCACTATTGGCCTCAAAGGCCACGTAAGCAAGGAGCAGCTGACCACGCTGCTGCAGCTCATGAGAAAGGAAGTAGCGAAGAGCAATGTGCTTTGTTCTGTGCTCCAATCTGTGCTCCCGACACAAGGCCAGCATGGCCTTGTTGTCTACGTACAAAACTGAAGGAGAATGAGGTGGCTCTCCTAGATTTATCAGCAGGTAGGGGAGCCAGCGTAGCTCTTGTGCAGCCATGGCAACCGCGTAGATCTCAGCCTCACTGCTGGAGGTGAGAACAGAAGACGAGCGGGTAGACCGCCACGAAACAGAGCCGGAGCCAAGGCTGAAGGTGTCACCCTGTGACGACCGCTGGGTAGCCTGGTCCTCAGCCCAAAAAGCGTCTTCGTGACCTGTGAGGACCACTCGACGTCGCCCTCCAAGCACTAGCCCCATGCTCGACGTACTGCACAAGTAGCGCAACACCCTCTTCGCTGCAGCCATGTGCTCTGGTCGGTGTCTCCCAGGAGCAACATATCGTGCCAAGATGCTAAGAGGGTATGCAAGGTCAGATCGTGTGCAGGTCCTCAGGTACATGAGGCAGCCAACAAGCTCTGGGTACGGGCCACTCGGCTCTACGGACTCATCCGAAGGCACAGCTGAGAGCGAGTGGCGAGTAGACAAAGGAGTGGCCTGAGGCAAGGAGTACGTGAAGTCGAAGCGCTGAAGGACCTGCTGCACCATGTGTGATTGAGTCAGGGTAATGGTGCGCTGTGCTCCGTCCCGGGTGATTTGCAAGCCAAGGTAGCTGCGCAGTTCACCCAGGTCTGTGCACGTGTGTCTCTTCTGCAGCTCGGACTTCACGTGGGCAAGTCCAGCAGTGTCAGCAGAGGCAAAGACCCAGTCGTCGACGTACACGAGGATATAAAACGGCGGCAAAGAGGTGTCGGTGCGCAGAAATAGCGACGGGTCGGCAGTAGAAGGAGCAAACCCAAGAGCCGCAAGCGTAGTCCTCAGTGTGTTGTGCCACTCACTGGGCGCTTGGCGGAGACTGTAGACAGGCCGCCGGAGGCTCCACTGGGGACCAGGAGGAAACGGCCCAGTGAAGCCAGGTGGGCGGCGCAGCCAGATCTCCTCGTGAAGGCTGCCGGCAAGAAAGCTGTGCTGAAGTCAAGAGAGTGAAGCTCCTAGTCAACTCCCTGCCGCTGACTGAAGCCTCGAGCCACATAACGCGCCTTGAAGACAGGCGGAGAACCCGGCGGCCGCTTCACCCTGAAAATCCACATGCCACTCACGATGTTCGCTCCCGGTGGGGGAACCTCGTCAACCTAGGTGCCTGTGGACTTCCAGGAAGCCATCTTTGCGTCCATGGCCGACTGCCACTAAGAGGAGTAGGGACCCTCGATCGCTTCAGCGTACGATCGAGGAGTCGGGATGTCTGGTGCATCCGGGTCTCCCTCAGGGGCAATCAGCGTGGACACGAGATGCGGCAAAGCAGCAGCAAAGCATTGGAACTCCTCCTGCCCGTCCTCAAGGACGTACGTGCTAAGAGCACACTCACCCCCGACGGATGGAGGACAAACAGACTCAGAACCAGCAACTAGACTAGCGGCGTAGTCTAGACGACAGCGAGCATCGAAGTCGACAAGCTCAGCAACTAGGGCAAACCCAGCACTGCACTCAAAGGAAGGGTCAGTGACAACAGTAGCCAGGAGACGCGTGACAGAAGGACTGGCAGCACGAAGAGAGTCAGACTCCAGGTCAGCAAGAGAAGAAAGAGAGGACTCTGGAGGAGACGGCAACGGGACACGCAGAGGAGCAGTGGAAGGACGCAGCGCCATCTGGTATGTGCCTGGGACCGCAGAAAGACGTGGACGCGCAGTACGACCACTAGTGCGAGCACCACGAACAGGCAACGCAGGATGAGACACAGGCTCACGACACTCAGCAAGACCTCCAGTAGGACCAGTGTAGAGAGAAGGAGCAGGTAGGGGAGAGGCGGGTTGTAACTATGACTGCGAATGAACAGGCTGTGAACACTCTAAGGGAGGAGAAGGACCAGTAGAGGGCGGGAGACCCAGAAACTGCTCCAGGAGCGGAACGAAGTACGGCCTCGTCCGCGCAGCGCTTGCAGAACCAGCAAGGACAGCACCAATACCCCCAGCGGCAGCACCAGCGCACGCAGCACCTCCAGCTCCACCAGCGCCAACTCCCTTAGCAGCTCCAGCTCCAGCAGCACCAGCAGCACCAACTCCTGCAGGACCGACAACTCCAACACCCCCAGCAGCTCTAGCTTCAGCACCTCCTGCAACTCTAGCAGCACCAACTCCAGCAGGAATGGCAGCTCCAGTACCGCCAGCAGGACCAACTCCAGAAGCCCCAGCAGCACCCCCAGGCCCAGCAGCTCCAGCATCGCCAGTACGAGCACCTCTGGGACCAGTAGCAACAGTAGTACCTCTAGCTCCAGCAGCACGGATCAAGCGGCGGGCAAACCACTTGCGCAGCTCCTGTGGAGAGAGTGGCTCCCGCCTCGACGAAGCACCGCCGGCGGCCACACGAGCAGACCCAGCGCCCCCAGGCTCCGCACCCCCAGGCTCAGTAACCCCCAGACCCCGCACCCCCAGGCTCAGCACCTCCAGACTCACCACCCCCAGTCTCAGCACTTCCAAACCCGGCACCCGGAGGCTCAGCAGCTCTAGCAGCACTAGAGTCAACAGCTACCTTGACAGGCTCGACTGCGTCTACCTGGGACACACTTGACGGGGCAGGACCCTGAGGGGGGAGGGGGTCTACCGGGGGAGGACTTGGCTCAAGCTAGAGCGGCGGCGGGGGGAGGGGCGCAGTGCGGTAGGGGAAGAGACGGTAGTAAGGCACCGACTTGTCAAAGGTGATGTCCTGGGAGGACAGAACACAGCGCGAGGTGGGGTGGTAAAACTGCCACTCAGGCGCGTTAGGGGGGAAGCCAAGGAAGACGTAGGGAGCAAAACGAGGGGACTGCTTGTCCGCAGACAAGTCGCGGACAAGCGCCCGAGATCCCCAGACCCGAATTGCAGACGCATCGCCAACCTTCCTTGTCCACCGCAAGGTGGGGGAGGTCTCTGGCAAGGAGACCCGGGGCTGAAGGTTGAGCTGATGCGCGGCGTACTGATCATGGGGGGCAGCCGCATGCATCATGGACGTACGCACGACGTCCAAGACCATGCCAATGCGGCGCTCAGCAATTCCATTTTGCTGTGGAGAGGCCGGAAGCGTGAAGGTCTGGCGGATGCCCTATGGACGACAGAAGGCTCCCAGACGGGCAGAGGAAAACTCTCCGCCTCTGTCCGAGTGCAGACGCAGAACAGGAAAGTCCGAGCTGAAACTCTCTATGAGCTGGAGACGAGCTGCGCGGATCTAGACGATCAACACCTCAATGACGTCACCCTTGTTGCGCAAGGGGAAGACTGTGGTGTAACGCTCGTGCCCTTGCCCACGGACGCGGGCAGGGCCCCACACGTCCATGTGGAGGGTCTGTAGCGGAGCATCTGTCGGAGGAAACTCGGAGGAGTGAGGGGCGGCGCGCTGTCGTCCCTCAACGCAGGGGACGCAGGTAGGGCCAGGCCCCGGAGGTAGGGGAGGGAGAGACCGAGGGAGATCAGAGACAAGGACACGGGAGGCCATGCCTCGGAGACGATGCAGAGAGGGGTGACCAAGGCGGTGGTGCCAATGGAGAGTCTGGTGGGACAGTAGACAGCACGAGCAGGGAGTAGACTCAGGACCAGACGTGGACGCTGCAGCAAACACCTCACTCGACGCAGCTACCTGGCCAGACTCAGCTGCTAGAGGAGACTAAGTAATAAGGGTGTACAAGCTCGACCCTAGCCGACGGGTGAATGTGGCCAAGTGTCGGCCTGTCCGAGCACATGTGCAGTGGGTCACCCGCTGACTCGCAGGAGTGAACTGGTCAATCCCCCTATCCTGTAGGTCCGCTCCACTCACCAAGTTTGTAGAGTATGAGGGGAGGTAGAGACCTGACAAGGGTGAAGGTGTGGAAGGCCTGAGCCGACGTTGAACCTGAGAGAGCAGACTCACCAGCACCTAGGGCAGCAGACTCACTAGCACCTGGGGCAGCAGACGCACTAGCACCTAGAGTAGCTACCTCACCAGCACCTAGAGCAGTGTCCTCAATGCCTGGGTCAGGCGGAACACACAGGTAACAGTCACCCTAAACACTAGTAGTCACAGCATACATGGCAGCAAGGATAGCATCATAGTCAAGATCAAAGATGGCAACCCCCGCCCTAGACAGATCTCCCCAGCGAGGGATATCTGACGCCTCAGGGAACTGGAGATGCCACGCGTCCGTCAGGCGATCGAAGCAGCGCTGGGTGGAGTGCAGGCCTGCCCACTGCTCACCAGTTAGGTCGCAGGTACGGAGGACGTAAGTGCAGGGACCAGTACCCCCACCGCGCTGACGCGTAGCGTACCACTCACGAAGCTGCTGAGGGGACAGGGTCACACCACGCTGCTTGCCCGGACCACAACCTGACCCACTCCTTTACGCAGAGTTGCGACCCGCTCCACCACCGCCACCGCTGCCGCCTCCACCACCTCCTTCACCTCCGCCTCCTCCGCCACCTCCGCCGCCTCCGCTCCCTCCGCCACCACTGCCGCCTCCTCCGCCTTCAATGCTACCGCTGCCGCCGCCACCCTCGCCACCACTCCCACCACCACCGCCAGCCCCTCCACTGCCTCCACCACCACCTCCACCGCCCCCGCTAGCCCCTCCAGTGCCCTTGCCTCCCTTGCCGCGTTTCTCGCTAGGGGCAGACGCAACGCCGACCGACTCGAAACCAACGAGGTCGGGCGCACCAGCAGAAGCAACAGAGGGCAAGAGGGGGGAGGGGGAACACCTCTCAAAGACGGGGGTGCGAGGGTCACCACGAGAGGCTCCTACAGCGACTATGCTCTTCTTTGCTGCTAGGAGGCTCTTCTCAAGGAGGTCAGTGGTGAGAGTGGTGGGGCAAACTTCGAGGAAGTGGTCCTTGTCTACGCAGAGAGAGTCAGGGAGGCGAGTGACTATGTAGTAGAGGGTGAAATACATGGGGGGGGGGGGATCTTCGCGCAGAACTTAGCAGGAAGCGCAGCGTGGTAGCGAGTGTCACTAGTGCGGAGGTGCGTGATGAGGTCAGCGACTATGGGAAAGGCAGCAAGGTCAAGGAAGAGGTACTGTAGCATGAGGCGGCTAAGTGCAGTATTGGCAAGGAAAGAGTAGCGTGCAACTACAGCGTCGTACAAGGCCTGAGCACTCTTGTACTGGCTAAAGTGTGCACGCTCAGTGGTTGGTAAATGGCGACGCACAGCAAGACGAGCGACAACATCGCGTGACGCCCACTGTGAACGAACAGTGCTGTCAGTAGTAGCGGGTGAGGCAGGGGAGGCACCAGAGGTGAGGTCGAACAGAGAGAGGCCGTTTGCCCTATCGCACTGGAGGAAGAGCTGAAGGTCATCGACCCAGATCTCAAAGTCAACAGCACGGCCCTCAGTGTAAAAGGTAAGAACACTGGGGGTAGCCATGACTGCAGAGGTCTAGCAAGGACCTGCTGCACCATGTGTGACTGAGTCAGGGTAATGGTGCCCTATGCTCTGTCTCGGGTGATCTGCAAGCCAAGGTAGCTGCACAGTTCACCCAGATCTGTGCACGTGTGTCTCTTCTGTAGCTCGGACTTCACGTGGGCGAGTCCAGGAGTATCAGCAGTGGTAAAGACCAAGTCGTAGACGTACACAAGGATGTAGAACGGCGGCAAAGAGGTGTCGGTGCGCAGAAACAGCGACGGGTCTACAGTAGAAGGAGCAAACCCAAGAGCCGCAAGTGTAGTCCTCAATGTGTCGTGCCATTCACGGGGCGCCTTGCGGAGACCGTAGTCTGGCCGTCGGAGGCTCCACTGGGTATCAGGAGGAAACGACCCAGTGAAGCCAGGTGGGCGGCGCATCCAGATCTCCTCGTGTAGGCTGCCCTGTAGGAAAGCTGTACTGAAGTCAAGAGAGTGAAGCTCGTAGTCGCGCTGAGCGGCTATGTGCAGCAGCACCCGAAGAGTGGTCATCTTCGGGGTGGGAGAGAAGGTCTGAAAGTAGTGAACTCCCTGCTGCTGACTCAAGCCTCGAGCCACATAACGTGCCTTGAAGACAGGCGGAGAACCCGGCGGCCGCTTCACCCTGAAAATCCACATGCCATTGACGATGTTCGCCCCAGGTGGGGGAACCTCGTCGACGTAGGTGCCTGTGGACTTCCAGGAAGCCTTCTTTGCGTCCATGGCTGACTGCCACTGAGAGGAGTAGGGAACCTCGATCGCCTCAGCGTAAGATTGAGGAGTCGGGATGTCTGGTGCATTCGGGTCTCCCTCAGGGGCAATCAGCATGGACACGAGATGAGGCAAAGCAACAACAAAACACTAGAACTCCTCCTGCCTTTCCTCAAGGACGTCCGTGCTAAGAGCACACTCACCCCCGACGGACGGAGGACAGACAGACTCAAACTCTGCAACAAGACTAGTGGTGTTGTCTAGACGACAGCGAGCAGCGAAGTCGACAACCTCAGCAACCAAGGCAGACGCAACAGTGGACTCAAAGGAAGGGTCAGTGACAACAGTGACCAGTAGGACTGGCAGCAAAAAGAGAGTCAGACTCACGGTCAGCAAGAACAGGAAAAGAGGACTCGAGAGGAGACGGCAACGGGACACGCAGAGGAGCAGTCGAAGGACGCAGTGCCATCTGGTGTGTGCCTGGGACCGCAGGAGGACGCGGACGCGGTACACGACTACTAGTGCGAGCAGCACGAACAAGCGACGCAGGAGGAAACGCAGGCTCACGACGCTCAACAAGACCTCCAGTGGGACTAGTGTAGGGAGGAGTAGGAAGAGGGGAGGCGGGCTGTAACTGTGACTGCGACTGGACAGGCTGTGGACACTCTAAGGGAGGAGCAGGACCAGTGGAGGGCGGGAGACCAAGAACCTGCTCGAGGAGCGGAACAAAGAACGGCCGCGGCAGCGAAGCGTCTCCAGAACCAGCAGGGACAGCACCAGTACCTCAAGCGGCAGCACCAGCGCCAGCAGTACCTCCAGCTCCAACAGAGCCAACTCCAGCACCCTCAAAAGCACCAGCGCCATCAACACCACCAAAGCCAGCACCCTTAGCAGCTCCAGCTCTAGCAGGACCAGCAGCTATAGTACCGCCAGTAGCTCCAGCAGTACCTCCAGCAGAACCAACTTCAGCAGCTCTAGCAGCACCCTCTGTCCCAGCAGCTCCAGCACCACCAGTACGAGTACCTCCAGGACCAGCAGCAACAGAAGTACCTCAAGCTCCAGCAGCACGGCTCCAGCGCCGGGAAAACCACTTGCGCAGCTCCTGTGGAGAGAGTGGCTCCCGCCTCTTCGAAGCACCGCTGGCGGCCACACGAGCAGACCCAGCTCCCCCAGGCTCCGCACCCCCAGGCTCCGCACCCCCAAGCTCCGCAACCCCAGACTCATCACCCCCAGGCTCAGCACCTCCAGACTCAGCACCCCCAGGCTCAGCACCCCCAGGCTCAGCACCTCCAGACCCGGCACCCGCAAGCTCAGTAGCTCTAAGAGCACCAGAGTCAACAGCTACCTCAACAGGCTCGACTGCGTCTACCTGGGACACACCTGACAGGGCGGGACCCTCATGGGGGAGGGGGTCTATCGGAGGAGGACCTGATGCAAGGAAGAGCGGCGGCGGGGGAAGGGGCGCAGTACGATAGGGGAAGAGACGGTAGTAAGGCACCGACTCCTCAAAGGTGATGTCCTGGTTGGACAGAACACAGCGTGAGGCGGGGTGGTAAAACTGCCAACCAGGCACGTCAGGGGGGAAGCCAAGGAAGACGCAGGGAACAGCACGGGGGGACAGCTTGTCCGCAGACTTTTCGCGAACAAATGCCCGAGATCCCCAGACCCGAAACGCAGATGCATCGCCAACCTTCCCCGTCCACCGCAAGGTGGGGGAGGTCTCTGGCAAGGAGACTGTGAGGATCTAGGATCGAGCTCAGAAAAGAGAATGAGAATCGAGCCGAATTGAATGATCACCTGGGTACAACACATGGCTATATATAGGCTCGACACAACGCCCTGTAACCAGGTGTTACGCGAAGGTTCCGCGGGCCGCGTAGCGTCCCGAACAGATCCTTACCGAATTCGGTAGAAGGCAATTAGGTGGCAACCAAAAAAGCCAGAATTCGGTGCACGCAACCTAGCTCGGTGCTATAACTATAACAAAATATAGGAAAGCACCTAGCCTAGGAAATCAAGGAATTCATGCATGCATATGATTATCCTATGCTAGAAACAGCATGATAAAGTAATGCAAGCATGCATAGCTGGCATAAGCCGTCGTACTCTCACACGTCCCCCCCTCAAAGCTAGGTGGTGTGAGATACACCCTGCTTGACAAGATAGTCCTTGAGAGCACGGCGTGCGTTTCCCATATCAGCTTCTGCAACCCAACTGTCCTCAGTGGGGTCGTATCCCTTCCACCGTATCAAGAACTCGAGGGTCTTGCCGCAGCGGCGTCGATGAGAGAGAACACGCTCAATCTCGTACTCGGGTTCATCCTGCACAAGAACAGGTGGAGGTGGCGGTAGCTGCCGTTCCTGGAACTGTTGGTTGGGGTCCTTGTAGTGTTTCAGTAGCTGCACATGGAAAGCATTTTGAAGCTTCCAAGTATCTGGTAAGCGCAAGCGGAATGTAACTGGTGTCACCTGTGCCTCAATGAGAAAAGGACCACAGAAGCGAGGCCGGAGTTTGGATGGGAGGTGAGACACGTTCAAGTTGCGCGTGTCAAGAAGCACCTGATCTTCGATTGCTAGTGAGTCATCACGTCGCTGACGATCGGCATACTGCTTCCGGGAGTTCTGCGTCGTGATGAGACGTCACTGATTCTTCTCTTATAGCTGCTGCATGGTGGTGACCAAGTCATGTACGGCTTGGATGTGTGCCGGTGTAGTTAGCTGCTGTGGTGTGAGTGGTTCCCGTCCGTAAGACAGGAAAAAAGGAGTTTTCCCTGTGGCCGCATGTGAGGCGTTGTTGTAAGCGATCTTTAGGGTCGGTAACTCTGTGTCCTAGTGGCTGACGTCGTCCTTGCTAGATGTGCGTAGTAACTGTTCAACCACTTGATTGAGTCGCTCTGTCTATCCGTCAGTCTGGGGGTGGTATGCTAAAGATATTGCAAGCTTTGTCCCCAACAGTCCCATGAGCTCCTTCCAGAACTTACTGGTGAATTTTGGGTCTCTGTGTGAGATAAGTGTAGCGGGGATGCTGTGGATGGTGATGATGCGGTCGAAGAAGAGGCGAGCAGTTGCTTCAGCTATAGCTGTGGCGTTGGTCGGTATGAAGTGACCCATTTTGGAGAACTTATCGATCACCACGACGACGGAATCGTGCCCCCGTGTGGTTGAAGGAAGTCTTGTGATAAAGTCGAGGCTAACGACCTGCCATGGATGCTCCGGTATGGGTAGAGGCTGAAGTAACCCTGCTTTTTTCTGCTTGCTACTCTTCGTCCGCAGGCACGTGTCGCATGAGGTGACGAACTGCTGCACGTCTGCTGCCATCCCGGGCCTGTAGTAATACTTCGCTATCCCTACTAACGTCTTGTTGCTCCCGAAATGTCCCGCGTATGGTATGTCGTGAAACTCCTCCAATAGGATATGCCGTAGCGGGGCGTAATTCGGTACCCAAATCTTCCCAGAACCCTTCCTTACCGCTAGGTCTTTCTCCCACTGTAACTGTTTCTTAGTCCGTGCTGTAGCGATATGTGTGTCCACGGAGTACCCATGCTGGAATAGACCCTTGAGCAGAGGGTTCATCCCGTCGAGCTGGATGCCTGCTACATGTCCAGGGCGGCTCAATGCGTCTGCTTTGTTGTGTAGCCCAGGCTTGTAGACGATGTCGTAGTGGAAGTGAGTTTCCAGGAAGTCCACCCACCGCACCTGTCGTCGTGAGAGCGTCAGCTGCGACTTCAGGTATTTGATACTGTAGTGGTCTGTATAGACTGTAGTCTTGGCTCCCTCTAGGTAACACATCCACGCCTTAAAGG